GGGGGGGGGTAGGGACGGGCCGCAACAGGGTACGTGGGCAGGCAGGGCGGAGCCGCGCGGCCCGCGCGGGCCAGGGAGGGCGGCTGCAGGGCAAAGGTAAAGTGAGTATGTATGGCCCGCAGCAGGGACTCCACTGGAATCTTCTGGCTGTCACGGCGGCGTCCCTCCCTCAGGACAACAGTGCCGGGGGACGTTCAATAACGTGGCTCCAATCTCATCGCCGTCGCCGTCCTCCTCTTCACCCCTTCCCCGACACAAACGCGATATGGTCACGCTTGACCTTGTTATTGACGCCTATGAGCGCACAAAATGTGGACAGAGATGGAACAAAAACCGTCTATACCTATTTTATTATGACGGGCCATCCAGTTTTCCCCGCGCAGCGCAACTTGTCCTCAAGTTGTTGGGGGGCGTGCTTGCAGCCGATTGACCCCGCCTGACCTCCGCCTCTCGCTCGGCCGGACATCGACCTGCTGGGTGTCGTGGGTCCAGGCCGCCGCGGGGACTTCCTCTCCTGCTCCCGTGGGCGTGCCGGGCGGGGCGTGCCCGGGCTGTGCCCCCCCGCAGCGCGCCGCGCCCCAGATGCGCCCCAGATTGAGCTGCTGCGGGCTGCGGGCCTGGCCAGGCTGATCACACGGCGTGTCTGCGCTGCGGCGGGCCCCGCCCGGGGCCTGCCAAAGAGGATTAGGGGTGGGTTCCGGCCCCGGGTACCGCGCCCCACCAGCAGTGCCGCCGCCCCCACGTATCTCATCCCCCGCGGCGCAGCTGCGGCCGCTCCGCAGGGCGCAGAGCTTCCCCTGGCTCCACGAGTGGATGAACAATCTGCAAATCGGGGTGCGCAGCGAAGCAGTTAGCAGTTATGGGTCGCCGTCTGCGGGCGCGGGGGTGTGGCGGGCCGTGACGGGCCCCGACAACCCTTCAACAGGGTTATTGACGCCCGCCGTGACATGCGTCCCCTTTCGGTCTCTTCTTTTCTTTTTTCGCGAGCGTCGTGCAGTGGGTGAGGAGGGGGCGGTGCGCGGGGTGTATTGGAAGGGGTGATATCGTCATGCAGCCACCCGCGCAACACCAGCGCGGCGCGGCGGTGGTGGTTCCGGGGGAGGGAAGGCTCCGGGAGAGGGGC